TGGACAGATTCACCAAATATGGGCATTTCATCCCATTGTCCCATCCTTACACAGCTGCTGCTATATCTAAATTCTTCTTGGATTCAATTTATAAATTGCATGGACTTCCTATGAGTATAGTGGCAGATAGGGATAAAGTGTTTTCAAGTTCATTTTGGCAGGAGCTTTTCAAACTGTTGGGGACAAGCCTAGATTTTACATCTGCCTATCACCCTCAATCAGATGGTCAAACAGAGATTTTGAATCAATGCCTAAAGAATTATCTCAGAGGCATGGTTTTTGAAAATCCTAAGCATTGGGCTAGGTGGTTGTCTTTGGCTGAGTATTGGTATAACACCAATTATCACACTAGCCTAAAGTGTACACCTTTTGAGGCTCTTTATGGTTATGCTCCACCCTACTTCTCTTTGGAATCATACATTCAAACCATCAACACTGAAGTCTCAGATCTCATCACACAAAGAAGGCACATTATGCAAGATCTCAAAAAAATTTTGCAAGACGCCCAAAACAGGATGAAGCAAAATGCAGACAAACACAGAGTTGATAAAAATTTTCAAGTAGGGGACTGGGTCTATCTCAAATTGCAACCTTTCAGACAAAGTTCTATAGCCCTACGCAAGAATGTCAAACTCACAGCACGTTACTATGGCCCTTATAAAATTACTGAAAAAATTGGTGCAGTGGCTTACCATCTTGATCTGCCAGCGGGGGCTAAGGTACATCCAGTCTTCCATGTCTCGCTACTCAAGAGAATGCTTACACCACCATTGGAGCTGCATTCAAAATTTCCACCCATTGACGCAGATGGCAAATTCTGCCTTTCCCCAATTGCCGCCTTAGACCATCGCCACATTCTCAGGCGTGGAAGATCTGTTTCACAGGTTCAAGTGGAGTGGCCAACTGGAGATAGCCCTATTTCTACCTGGGAAGATGTTTCCTTCTTGCGCCGACGATTTCCAAACTTTGATCCTTGGGGACAAGGATCTCAAAAAGGGGGCGGTATTGTCATGAATGAGAACGATGGATTGCTGAATGGAGGTGAAATGGAGATTGATAATGAAGAAAAGGGGCTCGATTTAGGGTTTGCAGAGAAATGGGGCGATGCAAATGAAAAGTCGAGTGACTTTGGTCTCAGTTCAGACAAGAATTTACCCTTGTTGTCAAGTGGACACGTGGCGAAAGGAGATTTAATCCAGAATAATTAGTTGTTTTATTTAAACCATCCATTTGTCTTCTTATTATTGGTAGCATGTTTTTACCCTGTTTAGTTGGTTAAGGGAAAAAAATAGGTGAAAGTTGGTTTTGAGTGGACCCGTGAGAATCTTATATGTATGACACTGTTGATGAATGAAAGGCATAAGAAAATTTTCCCAACTCTATCATCTTCCTCATTCTCTTCTCTTTCTACTCTTCCCCATTTCTATTACTCTGCTATATCCAGTCCATTTACAATTTAAAGAAACATAAATTACAACAATTCACAATATTTTTCTGAGGTGTCGTCTACCTTATTTATCAATTGATTACCCGTGACCACGAATCAATTATAAAATCAATAACTTATAGCTCATTTTGTTCATCTCATACGGGCTTAAAAACCTTTAACTAATTTTAAAGTTTAATTCAAAATTCATTGTTAATTGAATTATTGAAACATTTTTTTTTTCATTTTATGTTTGTAAATGTGAACAATAAATTATCAATTTCATGAGAACTTGTCTAACTTCACAACTTCTTATGACAAAGTGATGGATAGGAGGTATAGATAAACAACAAATTGTAAGGCAAGAAAAAGTTCAAGTCATGGCACTTGCTATCTTTATTGATTTTCGAAAGTAAAGGAACAAAATAACCACCCTCAAAACATAAAGCACATATGATCAAAAAAGACTAGATAATGCTACAATTCAAAAGCTGTCCCTCTCAACATTGCATATATGAACAATTTCAATCCCCATCAGTTTCATAACACTTCTTACAATTTGGCCAGCAGCAAAAGAGGAGAAAAGCAACAAGCACATCATATTCCTTTTACATAATCCAAGTCTTGGTAAAAGAAAATTCGGTCAGTTTTGTACACACGCGTTATCTCGGGCCCGTACGGGCCATCCAGTTTCAGGTCCGTCAAAAGCGAACAAATCGAGAGCAACACCTCAAACCAATCACAATCACACAGAAGTGATATAAAAGATCAGAAGCAGCTCATCATATAGGAATATTTCAAAATCTACCCCTGGTATCTAGCAAAATTACGCAATGCTCCTGCTTATCATCGAAAACTATATAACCACCCCCTTAAGATGTTACAACATAGGCTCATAGCAATTAAGGTTGTTATGTAAGAAATACTGCCCTCTTGCAACTTGTAAAGTGGTGGAAGTACTTTCAATTTGGCAAGATATCTGGGGTCTTTTTGCAATTTGGCAACGGATCACGGGTGATTTTCTTGTAATCAACTAAAGCACGGATAATTGATTTGCAAGAGCATATACTGAAAATATTCAAGCATTCAAATAGCATTTCGGATTAAATTTAGCAAAAGGTAACAAATGAAAGGTCACAATAAACCTACTTACTCATGAAGTATCATGCAGTTCTAAGATATTTTCAGACAGTCATAAAGTAGTTTCAAACAGGTTATCAAACGTAGCGAATTGTGCCTAAGCTGAAAATAGCAAAAGTAAAAAATAAAAGAACCTTAGAGATTGTCAGGGCAGGGCTCCATTGCTCCTTTTTACAGTTCAAGAATAGTTCTCACATGAATCAGAAATAGAAGAATATTTTGGCCTAAAAAAAACCTTTGATGTTGCCTTCAACATAACATTGCTGCTTACTATGAACTTCTTGATACTCTTTGCATCTTATATTCCGTGTCTTGTTGTGCAGTATATAGAACAAGATAAGTGCTAACTGTACAAAATTATAACTCCCAATATCAAGAGGGATTAAGTTAAATTTTCCTTAACTTCATATCCATCAACCCAAACGATACTCCAAAGATTCCGACTCAGTGAACTTCACATAAAAATTAATATTCATAAGGACCATAACTAACATTTAGTGGAACTACTTGGAGAAAATTAGATTAAAATCGAACAAAACTTAAAAACTCACGCAACATGGATCGACAACAAACAATCAAGAACACATGTATGGGCATATATACTAGTATGGAAAACGGATGTAACAAATCAAACCAATCGAGAAAAAAAACAATTTACCGAGTTGCAACACATTTGCTGATATGAATGGGTAATCCGAGGAAAACGANGAGACAAAAAAAAAAAAAAACTCTACCTGTATTATAAGGACTATCCTGTGGACCCATTATCATTGCCTGCTAGTGAAACATATCCTCCCTAACAGGTCATGTCAATAAAGAAGCATTATATTTCCTGCTTGCAACATGGAAATCAAAAGAAAGTAAAGGACTGCCACTAATCGAGTAAGAACACGATATGATAATGCATGAAATGCGACAAATCAACATAAATAAAAGAACTGTAAAAATTTCAGGAAGTAACATTAGACGAAAAACAATAATAAGGTTGCTCAATTCCTACAACTGCAAATTACCCATCAACATACTCCTTGCCCTTTTTAACTTGTTCAATAAAATTGTCTTCTGCTTCAATACTAGTGAAATAGAAAACGTATAGCTACTAAAAGCGGATCAAAATAACAAAACATTTTCTACACAAGGCATAGTTTCTTCCAAACAGCAAGATTGAAACCCACAAATTCAAAGCAAGACAAGATTTCACAATATATATTATATGAGGAAAAATGGAAGACCTGCGCCGCGCTACAAGGAGAGGGAGGATACCTTTTGTAAATCCTTGAGCTCTTCCGTAATACGCTTTCATGCCATCTGAGAAAAACTCTATTCTGTCGAGTCACTTCAAGAAATATTCCAAATCGTAGTTTAAATTCGGTGAACCCTTTTCCAGTTCGCTTCTCTTTCTCCCCTTTCTTTTCCCAAACTATATATTCAAGTTCTAATACTAGATATTTTCGTTGTCATTATCATTAATTTGTAGTTTATGGGCCATTTAACTTATATTCATATCTAAATTTGCGAAAAACTATATTCATATTAAATTTGCGAAAAATAAAGAGTCTTGGCTAAATTGAAAGATTGGGCGTAAAGTGAAATTTAAAAATAGGTAAGGATTTGTTTTGCAATTTTATTTTTTTCCCATGATTATCTTTCTTATTTTTTTACATTTCAGTCCATTGGGCTTACAAGCGGAATGTTCACTATCTTTCTTCATATCAATGGACTCATTCAAGGAACTCATCTATTTATTTATTTTTGGTTGGTGACTTGGTGGGGTATGGAGTGATAAATAGGCCTTAAACGAATCGAGTCGAGCAGAGCTCGAGCCTTAACGAGTCGAGCAGAGCTCGAGCCTTAACGAGTCGAGCTGAGCTTGACTCGTTAAATAAACGAGCCAAGAATCGAGCTTGAGCTCAGCTTGTTAAAGCCTCGAACTCGAATCTATCTCGAACTTTAACGAGTCGAATTATAAAAAATAATATAAAATTCTCTTTTCGAACTTTATTGAGCCGAACTGAGCTCGATTTCATTAACCAAACGAGTAAGAAATTCAGGATTTATCCAAACTCTTACACACAAGTGATCTCAAATAAATGATTGCTGATTCTTGGTGCAAAATGCTTTATTATACCCAACAACTGTAAACTGCAAAGGTTGGTCTCTCAATTTTACTCACCACACGAATGTTCATATTTTACCTTCCTGCAAGATCTTCACCTTTTATTTAAAAGATAATTAAGGTAATATGTCAAAGTTCTATTAGGAAATATAATCAAATTGACCTTAAAAAAACATTAAAGGAAATCGCCAGACACAAATGGGTGTAAAAAGGCCATGCATCATTTAGTATTGATCTTCTTTCAATAAAACAATTGGTAAAAACGTCTCCCAGTATGTATTGACATGCTAACGTACAATTAGTCAAGAAGATAATAAGCTGTTATTTAATTAATTAATGTGGACTAAATTTCACTTCTGAAAATCATTAGCAACCACATCGTACATAATATCCAACTTATCTATGATACTATTCCCCATGTCAAAAACTCTAAATACACACATTTGAATAGCTCGTGCTGTTGATCAGCCTACATAAAACCTGCAATTAAAATATATATATATATATATATATATATATATATATATATATATAATAAGTCAAGATATTCAAATAATATGAATCAGTAATTAATGAAAATTATAGCAAATAATCACAAGTCTTTGGCCGTGTTTGATAAAGAAAGTTTTGAGCTAGAATTATTTCGACCTCAATTATCGACTTGACCAGTCAGATCTCTATTCAACTTGTTTACACGATTTTGAATTANAAAACATGAAAAAAAAAAAAAAATTAGATAAATTAAATTTGGATTTAATATCTTACTTACATGAGATATCATCATGATTTCATGGCACTCCTTAATATCATCAAAACTTTGGAATAGCATTTCTTAATCAACAAAACCATACCATTCCATTTGATCAAAAATAAATTAAATCACACAAACACCATAATTTTCAAAAAATCAATCACATCCCATGAAAGCATATATAACCTTGCAAAATCATTCAATCAATTAATCAATCAATCAAGACACGTACCAATCGAGAACCTTGATCCGGCACTTAGGACTCTGTCGTTCGACCCGACTAATTAATCTTACCCCTTCACAAACCACCTTCAAGCCAACACTCCCGGCCGACCATTTATCCCCCTTAATCCCAACCTTCCCCGAAATCTCCACATTAACCGACAAATTCTTGCTCTTGAATCCCTTCTCCAACTCGTCCGCATCAGCATTGCCCAAAATCCCGTTCTCCGCATTCACGTCAACCTTCAAACTCGTCACATTGTTCCTTTCTTGCGTAAACCCGCGCGCGCTCCCGACCCCCAAAACCGCCCCTCCTTTAGCCGCATTCACCAAAACCCTAATCTTTTCGTAAGACATTTTCAGTTTCTGGTTAGGGTTTTTTACCCGAACGCGGGCCGTGATCCGCGAGTCGAGCGTGGGCCCACCGGGGGACCTCCGGACGTCGAACTTTTCCACGTCAGCAGATTCCAGGCGGAATTCCGGCATACGGGGCTGGAAAAATAGGTAGAAAAAGGCGCCGGCCGTGAAGAGGATTAGGGTTAGGATTAAGATGAGGATTAATATGGTGCAGCAAAAAGTCCGGCAGCAGTGGGCCCGCCGGTGGGATTTGTGCTGTTGGAAGGAAGGCGGGAGGGTTGTGGGCTTCGGGGGCCCGTGACGGGGAATTGGGAGGTTTGGGTCACGGTAGCCTGGCGGCTTTTGTAGTGGCGGTGATGGTTGACCGGTTGACATT